CCCCGCGTGCGTCATGAACAATTCTTGCCAGCCTGAATGGAGGAGCGGCCCCGCACATTTGCGTGCCGAAAAGGACGTTTTTTGGCTCATGCTGGCGCTAACGTCCAGGCTGAGCGGCGTCGGCTCGGGCCTTGGTATGCGGGAGCTGTGGTTACCCGGCGTCCCGCAGCTCAAGGTGACACACGCGCTGCTAACTTGTTTGCGTCGCAGCTAAAGGCGATACGGCTCACTTGTTTGCATGGCAACTCAAGGTGATGATGCTCATTGTTTGCGTTCCTGGCGAACCTCGGTGGCCTTTTTGAGCGGAGAGTTGGTTCGTGTATGCTACCACCGCTACGGCTACTGCTCCTGAGGCTGTTGTTGTTGTTGTTGGTGGGGGGGGCGATGATGTACGTGTTTTTGTTGCTGGCTACTGCTGCTGCTGCTGCTGCTGCTGCTGCCGTTCCTTGTGATGCCGCTGCCAATACTCCAAGTTACGGCCCCCGCGGTTTTTCCAAACGTCTGGGTTGTTTCGCGTTGTAATCCAGGTGCGCGTGTTTCAGTTCGACAAGCTGATGCTGCGAGAGCTGCCTCGTCTGTACAACCACTTCAAGGCCAAGCAGCTGCAGCTAGAGGTGGGTGTGTGCGTCATGTCGTGGTTGCAGACATTCAGCAGTCCTGCAGCAACTCAACCGTCGAGAACAATCGAGACGAGATGCTGCGGCTCCAGTCAAGATAAGAGAGGAGTTTTAGCAGGGGCTGACGAGCGCGCCGCCCGCGGTTATTTCGTGATGCCGCGCCTTCCATGCCGCCCCACGCACGGCGAGTCATAACTACCACATGGGTGTGATTCAGAACACACTGTAGTCGATGTGATACATGTGTCATACCCACGGTGCGTGAGTTTTCGGCCCTAACCCATGTGTCCCCTCCCGCCAGTCTATCGCATCTGCCCTTTGAACCACGCTGTCAGAGCTGGCGGGGTCGGTCGCACAGAGGAGCCTTCCTCGCCCCCCTCCCCGGTGTTTGCCATCGGGGTTGGGTTTTCGTCGCTTGGCAACGACGTTGTAAAACAAGCCGCCCCCCCC